GTACATGATCAGTACTTGACTGATCATTTTTATATTTTCCAATTACAGGTAGTTTAGTTTACAAGAAATATATTTCCATATAAAAATGCTCAATTGAAACAATTGTTTTACAGCCTGCACCTGAACAAATCGTTGGAAAAGAAAAGAAAAGGAAGAAACTGGATGAAATAGTACTTGGTCTATCAGCGGCTAAATGTAAGAGCCCCACTGCTTCAACGGACAGTCTGCGTGGACGCGGGAGCACTGTGCTGCCTGACGTGACAGTTACGCCAGCGGCTCCTCCCACATCTTCAGCTACTTCTTCTGCTGCTTCCCAGAAGCCATTTTCGGTTACGGTGACTAATGTTCCGTCGCCACAGGCTTCTTCGAAAGAGTTGTCATCATTTTTGCAACAATCTTTGGAACAAAATAAGATTTCCAAAACTCCAACTGTACCTCCAATGAAATCATATTCTCATGAAGCTAAGGTAAATAAATGGTTAGCTGAGCAGGCTAGCGTTGATACGCGTCGACGAGGTGTACCACCCCGGCTTGCTCCTGAAGAACATGTGCCTGTTATACACCGAGTTACAGGCAAACGAATTGTCGGTCCCAAAGCACCTCAACTCAAACATCTAGCGCAATGGATTGCTGAAAACCCTATGTACGACATAGACTCTAAGTGGACAGAAGGTATCAAAGAACATATAAAGTTACCTCAGGATGTTCGTAGTCAGAGACATTCACCGATGCAGGCTACTAGTGGAATGAATGAACGCAAAAAGGGTCGGCCACCCACGCTTGATTCTGCATCACCTAATGTTTTGTCTTCAAATTCACACATGAATCAAAGTTTAGCTGGTTTGAATCCTGCTATTTTAGCAAGTCTATCTAGCCTTAGTGCGTTTGATCCTAAAACGTTAGCTGCGACACTTTCGAATTTAACAGGATTTGATCCAAAATTATTGAATACTTTTGATCCAAAACTTTTATCTAGTTTAGGCAGTTTTGATCCCAAAAGTAATCCATTGCTAAATTCTTTCAACAGCATGCCCAATTTGTTGGGTAATATAGCCGGTGGAAATATATTTGCCAACTTAGCTGGATTAGGACTTCCTGGTTTTTCATCTTTAGACTTAAATAATCTAACAGCGTCAAGTGTTTCGAGTGATAGTAAATCCAAATCTCGAAAAACAGCAGAAAGTGGAAATCCATCTAGTTCCAAATCAAGTAACTCACAGTTTCCATTTGTTTTCCCAAATCCTAATATGTTATACCCACAACTGGGACTGAGCGGCTTAAATCCATTTGGGATGCATTCCGGTATGTCGTCGGCGTATGACGCTTTAGGGTTACTGAGTAATAATATAGCAGCCAGTTCAGGTGCTTCTACATTACAAGGCTCAAGCCACACTACTTCACGTAGCGCCGCAAAAACGACAACACCTCGATCATCTACTATAGTCACAAACTCTGCCACCTCACGTCAGCAAAAAGTTTCTGATCGACAACAGTCGAGTCAACTGCCGCAAATACATTTACCACCGGATCCCTATCTCTTAGAATCTTTATCAAAACAATCCCTAAATTATGAATCAATAATGAGAACAGAAAAGAGGTCTCGAGACAATGATAATCACGAAACCATAGCAACAGATCTCTCTAAGACAGATAAGAAAAAACTACCATATGATGCTCTGAGGTCGCAAGTACCTCCGGAGTTTGCGGCTGTCCAGGAAAAGTTACTGAAGGGTGATAAAAAAGATATTGATATAAGTAAAATGCTGTTAGAGCAAATGGCATCTGGAGCTCTCAGCGCCAGCCTTGTTAGTTCTGCAGAGTCTAAAAAGGCTAAAGATGATAAAGAGGGTTCTGACAAATTAATTAAGAATTCTTCAGAGTATAGTTCCCGAACATTAATATCTGAAGATGGAGCACCAGGTCAATCCTTAGCTCAAAAGAGGTCTCATGAAGAAGTCATGAATGAACCTGAAAACTTAGCATTATCGTCAACAGAGTTAAATCCTTCAAAAAAGTTGAAAGACAATTCAAGTGAAAAAAAAACTATGGAGAAACATCCAGATCACTCCACTCACACTGGGGAAATGGATCTTGAAGACTTAATAGCACCTTCAACTGTAATAAAAACTGGAATGAAAACAGATTTTGACACAAATATTTCAAAGATGCCAGTCACAGAAATGACGACATCTTCACCTAATTTAGGAAAAGATGATAAGTCTCAATCAAAACAGACCACGTCATATTCTGACGAAACTTCTGTACTCAGTCAAGAAAATGCTTTGAATGAGGAAGGTACCTCTAAAATTGAAAATGAAATGAAAGATAACTGTTCTAATGAAGATGATCCTAATATAGGAGATTTGTCCACTTATGAGGGGGGACGTAGATGCAATAAAAAAAAAAGCCGTAAGTCATCAGAAGAAATGCCGCCAACATGCCCACGTCGTGAATTGAGATCAAGCTCTGGACGCCAATCGACGGAGTCAATTAACGCAAACCATTAATAAACAAAACTGACTTAAACAATGCTTAAAGCAAACATCGTGATTAAGGTTTTCATAAAAGTATAGCTGTGTTTTATAATTGTTACCGGCAGTGGCTCTTAGAAAATATCTATTTACGATGAAATTTTCCAACAAACTTTCCATCTCTGAAATTACATTGTTTTAATAGATAATCTATTTTCCATTTTTCGAATTCCATCAATTTCTATACTAGGAAAAACTAATAAGACTAGGTTAATATTCTCATTTAAAATCTTTTCTAATAACAGAAGACTGGATACGCCACATTAACGGATCCACAGTTATACTCTTAACTTCAGCATTAGATAAGGAAGACGCTACATTTATATAATTAGAACAAATTAAATGTGACATTAGAGTGGTCCTCGTTGAATATGGATAACAAAAGCGTAAATAATAATAATTGTGGCTTAGAATTTCATAATGTAGTTTATACGATAAACTATTGACACTTAGAGATCTCTTGCAAATACTGTAGCTCAGTTTCCTTTTGAGTACTATTTGTTTTAAATGTAAGTTAGGATTTTCGAGTAAATATTGAATCATTAATTAATGAGTGAAATTGTGTTAAAATTATTCCTGGTTTTTATTATTCTCATTTTTATGTAGTTTTTATTGTAAGTTTTAAGTCAAACACTGAATGTGATAAAATTATTTATTACATGTATTCTTATTATTTTACACTGCTATATTGATGAAATGTATTATATAATAAATATGTGACAAATCATAAATAAACCTAGAACTTAATTTACTAGTTTTTCTCTTTATTTTTTTAAATTCTTTAGAATAACGATTTATTCAAGTAAATTTCATAAATATTTGAGTAGCGATAACCAAGGTACGAGTCCCACCTGTGACTACTGTGAGTTCTGCTGTTAGCGCAAAGCGCTTTCTTTTTCTGTATTGTGTGTCTACAAGGTATAAAGTGTCTGGAAGTGGTTTTGGGATCATTGCTTCTGAGAATCTTTTTGTCTCAAGAGATATCACTATCGACTTTGACGAATGTCATATACCGCTGTAAACTGTATTAAGAAAATCCAATGCACGTGGCATACGCCACGTTCATTGGATTTCTGTAAACATTTAAATTAGTCATGCCCCTTTATACTGCTGAAGATGCATCAAGATAGTCCGCAAAATCAAAATTATACGTTTGGAAGCTGGGTTGAGTCAGACATAATTATAGTTCTTGAAAATAATAATTCTGCTGCTGGTTTATTCGACTCATTCATTCTTCAAAATGTCCTACAAAACCATTTTGACCAAATGCGTGGGAGAGCGATGCTTCGGCACGCATGGGTTGGCTAGTCCGGACCACGACCTTACATAAAACCGCCCTGAAACAACCACAGTTGTGTTACGGTTACCGGAGGAAGGAGGTATGGCTGCACGGTTCGTGCCTGGCTGAACAGCTGGCTGCCGTGCAACGTGTCGCGGGTTCGATTCTTGCACGGAAAAATATTTTGTGTGAAGTGTTTGCAGAATGTTTAACGAAATTAACTGTAACGTAGGTTGCCGTTCAGGTCGGATATTCTTGTTATGTTGCCTGTTAGCACACCATTTGCCATCATCAGTATTGCAGCGCCTTTGCTACTCAAATCATTGTTGTATCTTTTGAAACAAAAATTATGTGTATTAAAATATCAAAAGTATCAAGACACCGGTACCCTTACAATATTTGGGGGACCATATGATGAACGACCTCAATTTTTCCACACTCTTTTTTGTTAACCTGTAGTTTTCGATCGTTTTCTTCTTTTAAAAAAAGAAATAACAATTGAGTTTCTTGCTCGTTCTTCACCATCTTTGATTATTAATATGACATATTAATAATCAAAGTTCACCATTCAAATCTACAATTTGAAACGAGTATAGCTATACAGTGACTGATACATAGTATTTTCGTTTTAACGTTTCAAGAAGACCTATATAAGGTTAAGTTGAATAAATAAAAAAAACTTTAATAATCACTCATCTTCTAATTTAGGATTATCAACCCTTCATTCAATAAATGCAATAAAATTATTATTGAAATAGGTAATAAAACTTTGATTTAATAATAAAAGTTGAAATAATAGAAGTATTAATCCGCAAGATAGCTTATCCTATATCTATATCCTTGGGTGCACTTTTATGGGGTGCCTGTATGCACTGGATAATTGCCGGCTGATGTCCCATTTTACTTATATTAAAGTTGTTCAACGGGCCTCTGCGTGATGGCTTTGGCCGCTTGTACACCTTCCATAGGTCCGGGATCCTGTGATCCCATGAACGGAAACGAACACATTAAATAATCATTTCCTTTTTTAACCACTGGAAATTCTTGTTTTGTGGATGCGTTTCAAACATAGAAACTGGCATACACAAACACCCAGACTCGAAAGGAGCTGTACCTTCATGGTGTTACCCAAAGAAAAACTAAAGTACAATTGACAGGTTGACTGACAGCTGAAGCTGACACTGTTGATTTGACAGGTGGTGACCTGAAAGTGTTTATGTGGCGATTGGAATCTTGGCATATTATTTCTTATCATAATCATTAGAACTTCGGCAAAATGCTCCTATTGGTTTTAAACTACTTCTTATAAGTAATTTAATGGTTCTGTTTTGGTTTTGTACGTAATTTTCATGTAGAGTTGTTGTACTGTTGTTATTACGATGGAAGATCGCGCAGCTAAATTAGCGTTAGCACGAAAAAAGGTAATTTGTTAATTCTTTTTCAAATGTTATCGCCAAATTGGTAGTGTTTTTTTTTACAAATTAATTGGCTTTAATGATTAGTCACACACACAGAGACACATATATCTTGCTGTCGAAATTCGTTAACTATTATATCTACTCTTACTTCTCTTAATCAAGAAAATAGACGTTTGATTGTCTAAAATATATCATACTAACCTAGTTACATGACAGTGTGAGATGCAAATTTATACCTTATTGGTAAATATTCAAATTCAAAACATTTTAATAGCTCATAGGCATATCTTGTATTTCATTTGCTACTTCAATGTTTAAAGTTACATGGACTATCTCAGTAGTCAAGTTTAAAATTATATATATATTATTATTAATGTTCATTTTTTTGGCATTAAGAGTGATATGATACATGATATTTCAGCATTACTTGCTGGTTATTGACTCTGTTGGTAATATTACTTTTAGTCCGAAACATAAGATTTGATAACATAATATATGTATTAGTCAATGTCAATATAACTTTTTTAACCTTTCATTTCTGGTAATTTGAGATGCAATAAGTGTGTCAATGTCGGCGTTCACCTGGGGTTTGAAGAATTGAACAGATAACTGAATTGAATCCTTGAGGCTAAGTGATTCTTTTCTCCTTAATACATTGGTGGACAGTACTTTCTCACAGGTTGCAGCTACTGAAACACTCCTTTTTTTCATACATTGTCTATGAGTGTAGTGTCACAACCATTTTGTGGTGACAGGACAACATTTGTTGTGGTGTGGTGTACTGTTTCTTACAAGTAAAAAACCTGCCAAGGGTGTATCGGGCTACGCTCAGGTTACATAGTGTACCGTCTGTCTCAATAAGTATCCCTACTTAGTTATGTAAATCTTAAAACCGCAATTCAGCATGAGTAGCAAAAGTACAGCGCCGTCTATTAGGGAATTGGGTTACTAATTTATACCAACTAGATGGGTTAGGTATGTATATTAAGTATTTATAAAGTTCTACTTTGAAGATTGTTTCCAATTTTTTTTAAACTTACGGTTAAAAGGTAGAGTGGAGGGAGCTACTTTTAGGTATCGAATATTTCCGAAAATATGTACAAATTCTAAAAATGATCTTAGTAAACCCATATTCATTTTTAAATAAGTACCTATTCAACAAAACATCATCACGCGGACGGACAGACAGCAGACAGATAGATAGATAGACAGACGGACATTGCGAAACTATACTTTTTGTATATTTTGCACGCATACATTTACGCTCTTCATTTTTATTATAATTCTAGTCTCTAAAATATATACCTGCAAGGCACCTTGAGGCGAGGTAATGGAATTAGCGATCTCTCAGGCTACTAAACCGATTAGTCCAGGGAGTAGTCCGACCTCTTGTACACTTGGGTCTGTCAATAGAACTCCACAGATTGGGCCCAACAGGGCCGATGTTCAACCGGGGTAGTAGGGCAAGCGAAATAATGTACTACGTCGCGTCGTCGGCCTGGTGCAAAAGCAAGAACAACGGGTTTTTTGCGAATAAGAGTCTGATACTTCTGGTTGAGAGAAGTCCTCTGATGGTTTCATTTAGAATAAAGTGCCTTTATGAAGTTGGCTTCGGCCACTCGTATGCCTCCCAAATGGCCGGGAATAATATTATAACAATACGAGTATGTTTCCGGTTGGACAGTCAGCCTATGTTTATTTATCAATGGATATTTAATATTGTAATATTGGTCAGTGGCCAGGACCATAGTATTTCAATAGTTATCATATCTAGCAGTCCATAGTCATCCACACCCATAACCATATTATTTTGTACCATATTGCACAATAGTCTTGCATTGTGTATGCGCATAGTAGGATAATTGCCAGCTGGTGACCCATTTGACTTATATTAAGGTTGTTCAACGGGCCTCTGCATGTTGGCTTAGGCTCTTAAGTACTCTTTATAAAGGCGCGAAACCCTGTGGTTCTATGAATGGAAGTTAACATACATAATGATAATAGAAATAGTACTATTTAGATTGAGAAATGAGAAATGTATAATTATAATTTATTATATACATAATGTATAATTTATTATTTTAATAATTTGTTTCAGCTTAAAGACCATCAAGATAAGAAATCAATTGGTGGTCAAAAAGAGGAAATATATAAATCTGAAAAACCTGAAGCCTGTATTATAGGTAACAATGAATCCTTGAATACAGTAGTAAAAAACGATGAGGAATTAGTCTCTCAAAACATTCAAAGCACACAAGAAATACAAAACCCTATTTTAGAAACGAATAAAAATAACTATTCGTCTTCTGCCTTCACTAACGCAGACAATTTAACAAAAAATGCTGATGTCACTCAAAGTAACAAAATTCCAGAACCCGAATTGAATATAACTGAAATTTTAATTTCAAATAAAAGAAACCTAGAATCACAAGTTCATCATTTACAGTCATCGCTAGAACAGTTAGAACAGAAAAATACTATGATAGTAAATGATTATAAAATATGCAATCAAAAACTAAAAGACTTGGAATATGAAATAAATAATATCAATGGCAAATATATAAAAGCAACGGAGGAAATAACTGTAAAAAATGCGAAACTGAATGAACTTAATTCTCTTCAATTAACTTTATCTGAGCAAAATAGTAATTTGGCTGAACAATTAGAATTTACAAGAAACGTCTTACATTCCAAAGAGACAGAAAGTGATGCACTCCATAAGCAATTGGCAAACCTCCAAAGTCAATATGATGTCATACACTTGCAGTTACAACAACTAACTAATGGCTCACCATTTACTCCACCGGCCGAAAAGGCTGAAAATGATGAGAAAACACAAGTTATGTCACAAAAAATATCATATCTAGAGCAGCAATTGACTTCTTTGCAAAAAGAAAGAGATCAAATCAATTTACATTATGAACACTATGTTGCTGAATTAAATGAACAATTAAGCACATTAATAAAAAAAAATGAGGAACTTACGCGCAGTGTTGAAAATTTGTCAAACAGGGAGAACAGTTTAATTGAACAAATAAGTGACATGGAAATAAGGATTCAAAATTATAATTTAGATAAAAAAAATTTTGAAGTGGATCGTACTACTACAACCATCAAGGATCTGCAGGATAATTTGACGAAAGCTATGGTGAGTAATTATATATAACAATACAATGTGTGTGACTGGCAAAAATGATTGTTCTAAAATCCAGCTAGGTTTAATTGGTCAATTAAACTTCTTAATTTTTTCTATCACATTCGGGCGAGAGGAAGTACTTATCAATATTATGCATATGTAGACAGTGTTAGGTATAGATAAAAATCCACTCACAAATTTACTATTGAAAAGAGGAATTGGTATAGGTTTTAGTTTCATTATGTTCTACAATTAATTTGTTTTAGGATGATCTTAACGAATTGAGAAAAAAGCATGAATATCTTCAAAGTCAATACGCAGAAAGTGTTGCCAAAGTTCAAGAACTCTCGGAAGTAAAAGAACCAGAATGTAATCACGATAATATTAGCCTTTCTAAGTTGAATGCTGATATGACAAGTGATAAAGTTGCAGCTCAAAGGGCTACTGAACAAAATAAACAGTTAAAGCAAGATATCCAGCGCTTAGAAGATGCATTTGTGAAAATGGTAAGATACTGATTTATATTTTCTAAGCAATTATTATCGCTATTCATTTTCTAAATACATTACAAATATATAATTTTTATTTATTCAGACAAACACGACTGAATTGGTTAAGGTGAAATTTATACATAAAATATTCTTGTATCATTATATGTTTTTATCATTATATACCGTTTACAATATAATAAATTAACAATTATTTAAAATTGGATAATATTTTTTAGAGCAAAGATAAATTGGAACTAACAGAGAAAATTACAGCTGAGAAGTATCTGAACAGAGAGCTTACGATTAAATTATCTGAAGTAGAGGAAAAAGCAAAAGATATGCAAATTAAGTTGAAAGCCAAAGATGAAGAAATGATGAGGTTGCAATCGAACTATCGAGAAATTCAAGAGCAATATGACAATTTAATGAGTTTAGATAGAAATGTAAACACAATACCATCAGAAGAAGAAAAACCAGTTCCTGAAATAAATACTGGTATTAGTGAATCAGATACACATTCTATAACAGACACAGACTGCAAACAGTTGTTGCAAGAAACAAATGCAAGAAATGAACACACCAATAGTCTCCAACGAGCAGACGCGATGGTCAAACTTCAAGACCGTTTCCTTAAAATAATGGCCGAAGTAGCTGACTTATCTGATGAGAAACACAGGTTGGAACATATAATTTTACAGCTACAAAACGAAACTGATACCATTTGTGAATATGTAGCGTTATACCAACAACAAAGGAGTTTGTTAAAACGGCGCGACGAAGAGCGAAGTGCGCAATTAAAAGTTTTTCAACAAGAATGTGGAAAACTCAAAAGTGAATTAGACGAACTTAGTGGCCTCCTTATTCGGTTTGCTGAAGATAAAGAATTATCGTCCTATTTCATAACCGAGTCGAAACGAAATGATATGGAAAGGGTAATGACCTTACTCACCAATCTTAAAAATAACTCTTTAATTGATATCAATAAAAAAAATATAGAGTTTAAGAACTTTTATCCTTGTAACTGTTGCTCCGGACAACTAATTGATGTATAGAAATAACATAAATTACAAATAATTTATACCAGCATAAAATTAAGTACCTACCTAAGTATTTTAATTTACTTATTAAAAAACTGAAAGTATATAGCATAATGTGGAATGTTATTTAAAACTCAATGAAATATACCTCTAAAATATGGTAGGCACATATTTTATTAACCCTTTAACCGCCTACGCCGGATTACAAGTTTGGGAGAGCCAAGTTTCGGCACTAATGGGTCGGCTCGACCGGAGTGATACCATGGACTCACAGAATACCGGCGTGAAACAACCTACAGTGTTGTGTTTCGCCGTGTGAGTGAGCTTACCGGAGGCTCAACCCCTTCCCTTCACGATTCATATATCCGCAACCCCTATCCCCAAAAGGCCGGCAACACACTCGTAACTCCTTGAGTGTTGCGGGTGTCCATGGGCGGCGCGGCGCCGATTGCTTACCACCAGGTAGGTAATCCGTCTGCTCGTTTGCCGACATATACCATAAAAAAAATTGATCCGACAAATATTTTCGGGCCTTGATGTGCAACGCCCATGACGACAAAATCCGACCTGAGGGACGGGACATATGCCAAAATTTACCGATACAAAAATAAACATAAAATAATTCACGTTATAGGTACTGACTAATTAACTTTAAAACGAATGCAGCAATTGTTAATTACACATATTTTTACAATTTTTTGGGAGAATTTCATTTAATTCCTTTAAAATTAAGTTTTACTAATGAAATTTCAGCGATTGAATTGATGGTTCCCATCTCTAGCCTACATGTTCCGAAACTTACTTTGTTAGTACTCCCTGCGCTACGGTCGGATAAACACGACCGCTTCTAACGTCATAAACAAGTCATACGGCATAATCAGTGTTGTCTTATGCCCGGTTCCTATAATTGAGAAACGATCCGTTTTAGTTACGAATAGTAGTTTTATATACGACTCGTAAGCTAAAACCGTTCCTATAACAAACGTCTCGTCGTGCAACTAACTGACGGTTTGCAACTAACGGATGTCCGTAAGCGAATTGTATGGAGATCTATGGTGTATGTGGTGTTCCTATAAATATTTTAACCGTCAGTAGACGGTCAAGATAACTATTCGTAATGTCATTTGGTCGTAATGCGTATACAACGACGATTCGTTAAATATAGGAACCGGGCATTAAAGAAGAATCATAAAACTTCATGCAAAAGCATGAAGTTTTATGTTAGTATGTCGATAAATGTACATGATAGAAAGGACACATTAACACAAGACATTTTGACTTTAAAAAAATTATATATTGCGGGGTTTTTCCAAAAAAACATTACCTACTTACTCAGAATATTATTTGGGGTTATATTAGATGTCAAAAAAACATCGTTTTGAAAATAATTCAGGTTTACATTTTTAATCTGAAGCTAGATTTAACAGAACATGCAATCAAATTCAGCTAGCACGAAATTATCTTACAAATACAACACAATATCAACATAATACCTAATTTAAGTTGCTCTTGGACATGTTCACTTCGGAATAACCAGATAGAAAATAGGTAAAGAAGGATATTGCAGGTAATAAAAAAGCGAATTTAACTAAAAAACATTTGTTTACCTACTTTTCGTCATAGCGAATCCTTTTTTGCAGCCCGTAGTTTGACATAAACGCGACATAGTTTCGTGTGACATAAACGACGACTTTTTTTGTGAGGCGAAAAATGTATTCTTCCGGTCTGGGCTGGAGGGAGTGTCAGACTCTTACTGACTGAAAACCCCCCCTGTTCCTTTCTTACTCTAGGCCGAGGTCGCGGTGCCTTATTGCGCTTATCCCGCAACCCCGGCTGGACATAAACGACCTGAGGTGCAAACTTAGTGAGATGGTGAGATGTAAGTAGTTGTTAGTTAACCATGCTCGCAAATGCAATGTCGTTATTAAAACGAAATATCGACATCGTAAAGTTAAGTATCGCACAACCCTACCCTACTTTTTTATAGGTATTTAATTTTCGATTCACTGTGTGTGTGTCTCAAATGAAAGCGCACTGAAAGGGAATGTTGACGACTTATTAATCGAGAGAAAATGATATAAAATATAAAAAAGAGAAAATGATATAAAGTAAAAAGTATAAAATAAATTAGACACCGACAAAATAGAAATATGAAGTAGATAATAAAATATTTGGATCGGTCCCCCAACGGCACGTTTTTTTTAAATTATTAGATACTTTTTAAAGGAATCTTAGATTTTTGTCGGGGTTTTTAAATTTTAAATGAGAAGTGAAAAAGAAACCGTCGTCCAATTCTGACTTCTAAAAATTTTTTATTTAGTGTCTTTGTCGCTTAGTGGTAGATCCGTAGTTGATAAGGTAGATTTTTTACTAAAAATGTAGTTCAGTTTGTTTGAGAGAAAAAAGAAAGGTATGAGTAGAGAAAAAAAATTACAGGATAAAATATTTATTTGCCACAGACCAATAAGTTTTAAAGAAAACTGAATATATTACATGTAACAATAGATACTCCTACAACTTAAAACACTGCTCTAAGTAGTCAACATTCAACATAGAACAGACGACAAAGCGCTCGCGCTTGTAGTAGTGTACACCTTGGTAACAATAGGAAACAAAACAATTGTTTTCTCATCGTAACGATAACATTTAATGAATACATTTTATCATTCAATACACGTATACAAAGACTACTATAGTATATGCACGTATAGGTCAAAATTCATATCAGAAATTATTACACAAAAATGACACATAAAAGAATTATTTACAAATAGTGGTATCTAGTGGTTCAAAGAACTGAATGTTCAGTGAGAATCGATCTATCAAGTACCTACCTAGCATCTAATACCTAAAGAGGTACTTCTGTGAAAAAATAAATTCCGGATAAACAAAAATAAATAGTTATGAAGTCTTTATTAAAATAAAAGTTACAAAGCACAAAAAAATACAATATCATCATCAGCCTATAAGTGCCCACCGCTGAGTAAGGGCCTCATACGGAGAAGGCTAGAGCATTAATCATCACGCTTGCTCAATGTGGTTTGGCAATTTCAAACTTATAATTAGAAATTATAGGTAAGTCCAGGTTTCCTCACGATGATTACCTTCACCGTATGTCAGTAGTGTCTAAATAATCATAGAAAGTACATATAACTCGGAAAAAGTCACATTGGTACTTGCCAGGTTTCGAACCCACACTCTCATGCATGAGAAACAGCCGCCTTAACTTCCGGGCCACCACGACACATTAAAACAAACAAATTACACACATGTTTTAATAAAGTATGTACGGTACCTTTGACTTTTTTATTATAAAAATATACTTAACTTTTGGAGACTGAATGTTCCCCACAGTTCTGTTGTTAGGTAACATTATCGGCTGTGTATCTGATGGGGGCTACAGTTTCTTGCTCACGGTAGTGTGGTCGTCTCTGATGTGCAAATAAGCTGTAGGCAGCCTCCATTGTAATCGGGCTTAGGTGTGAAAACTGAGTATGTATCCGTAGTTACTAATTACAGTTTACTTGGAAAACTACAATTTTTGGACAAAATGATTTGGCTGTTATAAAATAACATATTGTTAAACGTCATCCGCAATGCATTCAATGCTTCTCAATAGAATAGTGATAATTACAAAATCCGCATTTGAATTTCATGTATCATTTTTCATTATTTATTCTTTTACATTGTTAATTAATTAACAATATTTAAAAAGGAATTAATCCTTTAGATTAGTTTAGATGATGAAAATACCAGTGTCAGTTCTTACAGAAAAACTGTACTGCATAATACGGTCATTACCTAACATATTCGGATGGTCACAATGCGATGATTTCCTTCACTTTTGAAGTTTTAAAAGTAAAAAACATGTAAATATGTAGTCCATATATATCTCCTTTGAAATCAAATAATCCATAGAATTCTAAAAAGACGAATCATTTGTTTCTCTCTTAACTGGCTTGTACTAAAAACAGTGGAGCTACAATGAAAATATTGATTGAAGAAGTACCTCATAAATCGACGTTAAGTTTGAACCAAACTCCTAACCCACTTTTTTAACTTAGTAATGTAGGTATATAATGCCACAATTTTGTTTGGTATTGTTGGGAGGTGATTCATTAGCATGCCGTTGCATTTAAATACAAACATTAAGACGAATTTAAATAATCATAAGCAAAAAACGAACCTTGATTAAAAATCACAAAAATTCAGTCTCTAGAATCAGTATAAAAAATCAGTTTGTTATTGACACTTCACCGGCGAAATAATTTTGAATTTTCAGTACCTAGGTACTACAATGAATTAATTGAATATTTTTTTAATTCATTCACTTGACGACATCTTTCCTGTTTGTTATTTTTATTTTCTTATCGTCCTTATATACATAAATGACGTCATATGTTGCGTTTTCATGCAAAATTAATAAAAAAGGACCGCCGTATTCCTAATAATGGTGAGTACCAGTTATTTATCTATAGTTTCATAAATAATAAATACGTATCATTCAAATGAGAATGGTTACAGATATACCTAATAATATCTTGTCGGTTATTTCTTGGAACTAACATCAGCTAGAAGATTTGGCTATAAATGGAGGAATATTCCAAACAACGCTCTTACACGAAAGGCTATAAATACTAATAAAAATGTAAGTAATCGTGACTTATCATTGACCGCACGGTTGGTTGACTGTGCTGCTGGACATCTGGACACCTGGCTGCCGTGAAACATGGCGCGGATTCGATTCCCGCACGAAGCATCTCTTTGTGTCATCTATAAACTATTATTGCAGGTCGATCTGGGTGTGACGAGTATGAAAAATTTTACATTATTATCAGCGACAAAGGGTTTTGTTAAATTGCGGCAATGTTTTATTAAAAAAACATACGTAAAGGTTATTTTCAAGGAAAATAATTGAGAGTTTATATTGTAATAAATTAAAAGTCGATAGGTATGCAGATACACCGTCACATTGCTCTCCACTGTCGTGTGTAACTAATTTATTACAATATCACATAAAACACAATTTTTGGAATATTGGCTGCATTGCTGCCTTTTAATTCACAGCATCTTAGAATATTTATAGTTCAGTAGGACTCAGAAAACTTCCTAGAAAGGACATAATACACAAACACACATCTATATTTTACTAAGTCAGAAATATTCGACATACATTCTATTATACATACTTATTCGTATTGACTATTCGGCGATTGCGCTAATTCTTTCAACTAATCTAGCATGTCGCATTATAAGACTCGATGAAAGCGCTCTGCCGACACTTTAGTCTACTGGGACAAACTGTACGGCACTTTATTAGACACAAAATATGTTAATATATACCTAAAATGGTGGGTCGGGAATGGGGGTGATAACTTATACGTAAACCGTTATTATTGCAAATCTAATTTACGTGAAAATAAGTATTGTGTTTAACACGGAAGTTATGACATCAAAATAACTTCGTAGGTACCTACTATTCCAATAAAACATATTATTTAGTTTTTAACATTTCGAATTTGACTAGTCGTTATCAACCCCATTCATTTATCGGGAACTAAATATAACGTTTTAATTGGAAATAAATATTTGAGGAACAAAAGTCAATCATAATATTAAAAATCTTCAAGCAATAAAGACCAGTACAGCCAGAAATGCAGGAAGTAGCAAGTGCGCTATCATTTGGTCATTTATGTTAGAATCTATACATCACTGTAAAATCACATCTTTACCAAAGTAAACTTAAATACCTAAAATCTATTCAACAACAAACACGCCGTCACTTAAGAATACACTGAGCGCACTGCAACTTGATGCATGGGTGGTCATCACAGAATTACCTAACTAAACAAACTCTCCATTGTTGACTCTGAAACAGTTATAAAATCAGCATTATATTTTTTACTGAAAATTGAAATTAAATACAAATGTAGTGGATATATATGTATGTTATAATTGTTGAAAGTTTAATAATTGCTTGGGAAATATAATTAAATCTTAAATAATGAGTACTTACAAAGTTTTAATCAACTTTTTTTGGACTTTCAGCATTAGAATCATTATTTGGCTGTAAACAAAAAATAACAAAACATTATAAATTATTCAGATTTGACAAACTCGTAACATATTATTCTTGAAATTAATGTGGATGAAATTGTACAACAGACTAATTAATGATCTAAAAATAGTTTTATTTTCTCACCTCAAAATATCTATGATAGAGTACTACACCATATACACAGCCAATTGATACTAAAATTTGAATGACTAGCCAGACAATCACATTGCACACTTGAGCTTGACCGAAAAGTTCTTTGCCATTTTTAATGCACAGCATAGATTCAGTCACCATAATAGCTCCATATACCCAACACTGGGTACCAACACGCTTGCAATTTGGATCAGTAACATAAGTGTAATATTGCCTGAAAATAATCAAAATAAACTTAAGGAACATACATTTTACAATTATAATAAATTAAATGGTATTAAAAGCTAGTAGCAGAAGTAGATATTGTTGTTGAAATCGTATCAAGATAAAATAGTGTTGTTAAAAAAAGTTTTTATAAATTAACATACAAAACACATGAAAGCATTTTACCTCACAGATGGAGCTACAATTACTCCAATAAGACAAAGTCGAGCGATGACTAGTGGATGCGAGGGTGGCATCTCAAATATGTGTTTCAAGAAAAATGTATTTAATTCAGAAATTTGCCAAAATACAACCAGTTGACTCAATGCACAGAATCGCATATATGTACTTGTAGGATCTAGCCACCTAACTGGTGTCCATTGTACGGGTGTAAACTGCAGTATAGCACGCTTTATTTTACCAGTTGTAGATGATATATCCCTGTAAAAGTCAATAAACTGTTACTGATTGCAAGACAGAAAGTCAAAATAAGTGCACACTCAGCTCTCTTCTCCCTAGTAACTTTGACATTTTCTTATTAAAATTAACAGATTCAAGTTGTAATAAGAGCTTTTAAAGATCAAGGTATAAATAATGATATTTAGACAATACATGTTTGGTGCTACATGAACTTTAATTTGTATTGTATTATATATTTTATTCCTAAATAAATAAAACATACAGAATTTTTGAAATACTAAAATATGATCAGAAAATTGTACTACCATCAATAACTTGAAGCTTCTAGTGGAAAAGTATAATTACTCATACATAGGAGCAAAACACAGTGTGAGTGTAAGTAACTTACCTTATACTGACCCACTTGTATTCTCTCATTTCTAAGGCTTTGCATATTTTGAGGCCACACCATATTCCAAGACCATTACAGACTAAAACATCTAATATAACAGAATCCCACCAGCATTCTAAGAAATTTGGAAGCAAATGTGCAAATGCTATTTCTGTTATTTCCCACATTATAGAAATAGCCCACAACAATCCTGCATGTCTAAAAAGTATGGCTTTAAATAACCATCCCAAGAAATGTCCCCAGGCAAAGACATCAACATGAGACCAGATCTTGGTCAAACTTATATCCGAACAATTGACTGCATACTCCTGAAAAAATAAAATACCATAATCTAAAACATTTTAATTCATCAAACACCAAGTGAACGCAGATTTTTTCTCACCTATTGTCTTACTATTGGGTCCCATATCAACAGAATTGAAGGGTTAAAATATGGATTAAAATTACATATTATAAGTGCATTATTGTTGCAATAAAAATATCTCTCCTCCAAAAAGGTAGATACAGATAATATTAAATATACCAAGTCTATCACACATGTATTTAGGAAGTCTGTCACATATAATGTATTTAGAATGAGGTTAGTAGAATATGATAGTGGTATTCAAATTTGATTAAACAATTATATTGAATTTGTAATCATTATTTATCGGTTGTCTAAAAACATCATTAAAGGGTCTTTGAATTGTACCTATGTAATAAAACTAGTAATATCACACAAGTAATAATGATTAATTATATATATAAATAAGTATATTGTAAAATATATAATGTTCCTAAAATAAACATTTTATCTGGACTAAACCTAGTTACAGAACAGATAACATTAGTAATAAAAAATTGAATGAACCTGGAATTGCTAATAAAGAAATGTCAAGATTTTCAAGCTCTTGGGCAAAAGGTTATATGTATAGAAAATGATTTCAAACAAAGCATACCTAAATTTTTATGTTACTTTGAGGATTAGTTTTACTTGCTTTAATTCATCAAACCACAATTGAAGGGCAAAATGCAGATCCTTCTGCATATTCTTATTACTAATAAGAATTTTATTTAACTAGAATAGATAAATAGTCTGATGCATCTTACCTTGTCCATGTCAATGTGGAAGTTACGCAGATTTGGATCAATCCAATACATTATTTCATAAACAGTAGAATAACTTTGAAATAATAGAAACAGCAGTGCCAGTAAGTATAGCACTGATGTGCCAAATACAATTCTCCAAACAGCCGGATGTGGTCGTGTAAAAGGTCCATTAGGGAATGTTAGAACTGATACTATGAGGAAAAAAAAGACTACACAGCATATTCCTGACCATATATTATCTTGGATGCTAGACTCATCTCTGAAAGTATAAGACAATTGGACTCAATTACAAAAATAATGTATTTAGAACTTGTTTCTCATCACATATCAAAACTTAGAGGCAAGGACCATGCAGATTATAGCAAGTGCATAAATACTGGTCATTTGGTTGACTAGATTTATGTTATACTACTGTAAAAACACAGGTATTATATACTGAGTTAATGACAAATACTTTCTCTTGGCTAAAGACACTGCTATGTTGTCTTATATTGAAACTAAGATTTCTTATTTAAATATGGTGAATTAATAAACTTTAAAAAATCCTTTTAATTTAAAAATCAATAGTTTTCATATCAAGAGTATGGTTACATCACAACTTATCATCGTACTTGAATTGAAAGTAATAATAAAAACTGCGAAATACCTTACAAACGCTGTGTAGATTACTGATGCTATAGATACTGCTAACAGAGTAATGGTATGCGGTTTGTAAAAAAATTCTAACGAAATATCATCCACCGGTCTCTCATTTATAGAACTGAAAGCGGCCGTGTAGTCATTACTTAGCATGGTACTGCTACCAGACATTGTCCTTTCTTTCGTATCTTTCATCTTTGAGGTATTTATGTAAGTACCTATTAAAACGTGCCACTTGATGAAAACTATCACATAATGGTTGAGAAGCAACCAAATAACGAATAGTCACAAAATTACATGTTATCACATTGAAATGATGAAAGATTTTATTGAAAATAGTAATGTCAAAATCGAAAGCAATTCTTTAATTAATCTGTCAAATGTCATTTTTTATGATTATAGAAGCAAGTCTTTTAGTCTCATGAAAAATGTTAACAATAAGTATACATAACTTATGAGCTTCCTAATGTTAAATTATGCACTTTTGTAACTTCAAATGTAAAATTCACATACACAAGCCACTCAGACCCGAAACAACAATTTGTAGACCACATGAAGTGTTGTTCCGTGCGGAAATCGAACCCGCGACACGTTGTTCACGGCAGTCGTTTGTGAGGTCGTGGTGCCTCTCAAATACAGATTATTAGGGCTCCAAACACAGAAACTATCTCACAATTCGTACCGGCCCAAGGACAACTGCCTTCCGTATTAAGCTCCTTGGCTAATTTGCAACGCCAGGCGGTTGAGGCTTCTGCGGCGTCTACAGTTTGCGCGCAGACGCGCGTCGCCGGGGCAAGGATCCTCTGCCGCGCCAAATTAGTGCGTGGTGGAATGAGCTCCGGCGAGATCTCATGGCTGAGTGGAAGCAACGACTGTCGCAACCGAGGCCCGGCACGCTGTTATAGCAGCAGTGAGACCCCTCTTTGAGGAGTGGCTTGAGAGACGCCACGGCGTCCTCACCTTCCGCCTGACGCAGGTGCTTACCGGGCACGGCAGCTTCGGTAGGTTCCTGTTTCGGATCCAGCGGGAGGAAACGCCCCAGTGTCACCATTGTGAGGACCACCTAGAGGACACGGTGGAGCATACGGTGGCGGTGTGCCGTGCTTGGGCTGAGCACCGCAGTATCCTCAGGGAAGTGATCGGCGGCGGCGACCTCTCGCGCCCAGCCTAGGTCGAGGCTATGGTTCGAGGCGAGAGGAACTGGCAAGCCTCTTTCTGCGAAGCAGTCATGCTCGCAAAGGCGGGGGTGGAGCGCGTGAGGGAACTATCCTCCTCGCGCCCCAGCCGCCGCAGTAGGCTGCATTCCGGACGTCGGGGATCGAGAGATGATCTCCGGCCACCGTAAGCGCGGGTCTGCGTTCTGCGAGTAAGGGTAGCTAGGCGCACGACCAGAACCAGACCCGAGTGTACTGCGCGTAGCGTTTCTGTCGCGCCTCAAAGAGCTAATAGACCACCACAACCCTATAGGCCTGATGTTCAGCCAGGGTTTCGGGTTAAGCGCAATGAGTCACCGCGGCCTCGGCTCAGAGCAAGAGATGGATCGGGGGGGTTTTAGTCAGTAAGAGTCTGACTCTGTCTCTCGCCTTACCCTGGGCGGGAGAAGTCATTTGATGATTTTTCCCTGACAAAAAAAGGCGGTTTAGGCTTATAAGAACTAACCTAAATTATTTCAATACCTAATTATGAACAAACACTACATGTATATTTACGTCCTAACATGCGTAAATTCGTTTATTTTCGACTAAAGTTTTACGATCAAAAAATAATGATAAGGAAAAGTACTTACTAAGTACAATCTTAAGAAATATTGTTGGACAACTTCCAAGTATCGGAAACGGAGGTCAATACAGTACCTATAAGGTAACAACCATTAAAAAAATTATATCAAGTTGCTAGTTAATATGCCCGCAGGGCACCTTGAAGTAAGGTGACAGGAATTAGCGTTTCCGAGGGCTACGATCACCCCGAGTGCTCCAGAGAGAAGTCACCGTTCCTTACCTCCGGATTGCCGTTATTGACTAGCCGGAGTAAACGATGACAAGGAACAGGTCTCCCACCTTTGGCTTGCCTTCATTGGTCATCCAGAATGGAGTTGCGAGAGTATATAGTGATCCTGCTCGGAGGGCGGAAGCTGTTCGTAAAGCGTCGAGTGGGCCACTGATGCAGGATGCTCGGCCAGATGCAGATGATCTCAGTAGAAAGCTGGTGGCAGTTTCTTCACCCTTCAGCCACTCACATTTCAGTTGTCCCGCGCGGTCGGTGAGTTGGCTAGTCTCCACCTGCCTTTTACGTGTACAAATTACATTGTTTCGGCAGGTGCTATAGTCCTACCACAGTTCCTATCATACCAGTCCATAACAACCCACACCTATAGCCTTATCCCTTGTTTCCATTGTCCGCAATAGTCCTACACTAACCGAGGACTGACCTTGGTTGCATGTATTTCCATAGTGCATAGAGGGATAGTCACCGGTTTGTGTCCCATTTCATTTAGATTAAAGTTATCTAAAAGGGCCTCTGCACAGTTGGCTTCGGCCCCTCGTACGCCTCCCAAATGGCCGACACCCCGTGGTCCCGTGATTAGTAAAGGCAAAGAAATAATAATAATATATTTATTCGCATACAATCAGAAAATCAGTCAGGTTCGAGAACCTTTATTCAAATTGGGGAAATAGTGAGTTTAAAGTATTGAATTCTTGCAGTAGGTGCAACACCTGAATACCAAACACACACAAAGATAATCTAGGTACATAATATTAAACTGGTCCAGGAGTATGAAATTGAACGTGTCTGCTTATGTGAAAGATGTTGAAAATGCTGAAAAATACTTCCATAAGAAAAAAATAAAATAAGATAAAAAATTGAAAAGAAAAAAATATTCAGCAAAACATACCTACTCAATTCAGATTGAGCACATGCCTGGTGCGGTGGCAGGAAAGATAGGCGCAGGAAAATCGAGGAGTGACAAGTGGTTTGTCGACCTTTGGGAGTCAAGGATTTGAGGTTAGTGCACTTAGTGCTGGTTATGGAGTTGGAGATGGGGGTGGGGGTTTTGATTGAGCCTCCGATTACCTCATTCACACAAGTTATCACATTTGGTGTGGTATACGTTAGTCAAAAGCATGGCAAAGGACGAGTTGCTCTCTTCTTCACTTTTAGAAAGACGCTGCGAAAAGGAAGATTATAACACCTTTCCTCCTACAGCACAGGGTATACTAAAGGAGTAGGTAGATGTTTTTCTTCACCGGCCACCAGCAATTTTACGTATTGGTGCCGCTTGCACCTGGTGCTTTCTAGTGCTAACGGTCACTGAGATTATCTGCAGACCGACAAACAGACATGGCGAAACTATTAGGATTCCTAGTTTCTACTATTGAATACGGAATACTAACAATGAATATATACTTAATATAAATATCTATTGTTTTGAATAAATATCGGATAAAAGCTATTGACGCCTACTTACTTAGGTATTAATTACCTCATCAAAACAAATTTGACATGAGTGTGAATGGAAAAAAACGATGGCCTCTTTTCCATGGAAGATCACAGCACGTCGTTTTTCTCAGAACTAGGTAGGTAGGTATATATCGAGCTACCTAGGTACTTATCTATTTTTTTCTGAAATTGAGTTTAAAGAGCGCCCACAAACGCGGCTCTTTGCTTGATGGCAGTTTTCAGGTTCAAATCAAATCAAATCAAAATCATTTATTCCAACTAAACCATAGGTACTTTTGAATCGTCAAAATAGAATAGTAGTCTGTCAGTCTGTTCGTCAGTGAAGCTAGGTGCTCGTTCCAAATTGTAGGTAGTTTCGAATGAAGAAGAACGAGCAAGAAACTCCATCGTTACTCTTTTTAAAAAGATATTTGTTTATTATTCATTACTATCATCATTCATATCACATTACTATCAATTTTTAAATGTATTATTGGTGAATTGTAAAACAAATATTTTATGTGAGAACAATGCAGAGACAATTTGTTAATAAAAAGGAACAAATGATGGTCTATCTAATCTATCATTAAAATTTTAATCCTTTGTTGTCTCGAACATGGCGCTCACATATCGACCTATCCGTAGAATAAAGTTACTTTTGCATAATTGTGACTTTTGAGGAGAGCGATTTGAAATTTGCCAAGAACAAAATCAGTCATAACATTTTTATTAATTGTTCTATTTGATTAATTATTTTTCTAAACATGTAAAATACTATTTAGCATTGTTTGTCGTAACAATATGAGATAAAAAACTGTTATTTTTGGCATTTGCAGTGTTTATGTTCATATGTGACTATTTAATATGGAAATGCCTGCGTCGTATGTATACATATAACTTTATTCTTGGTAAAACTGATAGCCACATGTGTACGTGTAACTTTGTTCTATGTACATAAGTATTGTGTTCATAAGTTATATGTGATAACATGGGATAATAAATTAATAAAAAACAAAATTTTTAGTTAAACATTTATTTTTTAGAATTCAATGTAGCTGTGTAATTATATTAGAGCATAGATTCCCAAAGTGGTCCAGGTGGACCCCCAGGGGTCCACGGGAGCCCGACAGGGGTCTACGCTTGCGTTGAAAAAGAATGGGGGTCCACAACTCGTTAACGGGGGTCTATAAATAATAATAAATAATAATTTATCAGGTGACCCGACTTGACTTCTCCTATGAATATAGGAAGACAAAATTATAAGAAGCTCAGCAATTGTTTTTGTAAGAACTTGCATATTCCATATTCAGAAAGAGCGTGTCAAGACTAGCCGATTCCGCGCCGCCCGCTCGCCTAGTTAAAGTCGTATCTGAACTTGCATGAACTTGTTGGATTTTTCCCTAATATAAATAGGAATGCGAATGATAAACATCACTCAGTTTTTTCCGGAACTTCAAAAAAGAAAGTGAATCTAAGGAGAAGTGTCGACTTTACTGTCGACAATCAATTTCAATATAAAAATTTTGATTATATTGCAAGAAATGCAATGTAAACTTTTTTCGGGTTTTGGAAGTAAGTTAGTAAATGTAATAGTTGCAGGGGGTCCACCAGATCCAGCAAAATGTTTAAAGTGGTCTATGGGAAAAAAAGTTTGGGAACCTCTGTATTAGAGTAACATAATTATATTTTCTTATAATAATTAGTACCCGTTTTATTAGGAACTATACATATAAAACATATCAATAAAGAGTATAAAACTTGAAAAACAATTAACAAAGTAGGTAGGCAGTAAGCTCAAAAAACTATTACTTTTTTACAATTATGTATTAAAAATCAAAATATAAATCTTCCAATCAACAATAACCAATCAAAAGTCATCAAAAAACAAAATTTTTAGTTAAAATTTATTTTTTAGAATGCAATGTAG